ACTTTAACGTAGGTTACGTTACGTAAGTAATATTAGTTAGTTAGTTTACCTTACCTAACGTAACTAATACTTACTACTTATACTACTATTTACTTCTCCTTACTACTCTACTCTCTCTACTGTACTCTCTCTCTCTCTCTCTCTCTCTCTCTCTCTCTCTCTCTCTCTTTTTCTTTCTCTCCCTGAGGGCCTGTTTGATAACAGGAAGCAAGTTCATTAACTGTAAATTGGAAGTTCCTCTTTGCTGGGAAGAAAGAAGTTATTGTAAGAAGTTTTGGGTTTCTGTGTTTGATAACCTCCTGAAATGTTGAGTAAGTTCTAAGTATCTGTGTTTGATAACATGCTGAAAGACTAGGAAGTTATGGGTATCTGTATTGGATTAGCTGTAGAAGTAATAGGCAAGATGTAAAATGTTAAAATTGAGACCTAGATATTATTTATTTTTATTAATTTTGGAATTTTAGTTTTTGGGATGAAATATCAATTGAAAGTAAAGTACGTTGGATTGAGAGAGAGAGACCATAAAGAGCCTAAAGTCATCACACATATATCATCTCCAGAAGCTTCTGATCACTTGATCATGTGCATAAACATACATATTTTTGCAAATACTTACGTTTGTCTTTATAATCATACAACAAGTACATGGTAAACATCAATGGGAAAATACCTCTACGTGAAAAAAGTAATTGGACATACCTATCAAGTGTATTTTTCAAAAGATAAGATCTTTCATGACAGCTTGACTATAGTATTCAATCTCAATGTTCAGGACCTCCATGCAAGCATTTCCTGTATATGAACTAGATGCAAATGATCTTTTATATAGACTAAATAGCACTGATCTTTCTAATGCCCTATCCGTTTTGGCAACTACTATAGGAGAAAAAAAATGAACCGCATAAGAATTTCTTCAACAAATTTTTGGCTTCAGAAGGAGATGGTAAAATTCAGTACTGCACTAATCGATGTACCTTCTAGTGGATCTAGCCTAAGAGTTGATTCTTCAACAGACAGTAGCAAAGTAATCTAACTTTTTCAAGCAGACCACACCTCATTAAGCAAGTCTTCTTCCACAATGATCTACAACGCATGCTACTATGATCTCACATTCTCATAACATTGCAAGAAAATAAGAACTAGATAGCAAAAACACAAGGGTAAAGAGGACCTTGTATACAATGAGAGAACAATCAAGCCATAAGATGTACTGAAAATGGTTTTTATACTGATTAACAACAACAAGATTGTGAACTTTGCTGATGCTTTTTAGGAGATACAAAGTTTAGGGGATGTTTTCCCATTGAGAAGACAAAAGGTCATGTGGGCCCATTAGGCTCTCAGTCAATTGGCTCCCTGATTATTTATCCTTGAAATAGCAGTTGAAACTTCCATCATACTAATAATTAACAATATTTAAGAAGAAAAGTAACAACATTAAAGCATAAAGAAGGAAAAAAGTACCCAATAGATCTTCTATATGGAAGATGTTTTAGAGATGAATTTAACCAATCACTTTGCATACTCTTGTTTTATGTGAACTACACATCAATTCTGCCATGAAAAGCAATACCAATGGCTCCAGTGAATTCAAGAAGGAAATAATGAAAAGAATAAATAAGAATTCATCTATAAATAAAAAATCTAAAGAAAGGCAACACCCAAAGAGGAGCCAATTCCACTAAACAATCATGCAAATAACTCCATGCCAATCAATATAGTTAAACTTGATTCATTGCTTAAACCAAATAACAACCCAAGTCAATCCAATGAAATAGTAAAATCCACAACAAAAAAAACATAACAATACCCTAAAATGGATTTAAATTCATAACCCCAACTCTATTAAGCTCGTGATGCCAAGACATTTACCTGGTTGGCAAGATTTCTGTTGATATTCACAAGGAAATCCTCTGAAAAAATATGGGTTCAAAGCAACTTGGTTCTTACCCCCAAGTTCTAAATTCCACTGCTAACCTGCTGGAAGAGAAAGCAGTGTCTTCTAACAATAGCAATTTTGATACCACAATAATGCTCCAAGTTGCATTCCTAAGAAGGAATAGCTACTTGAGTAAGGAATAATGTGCATTCCTAAGAAGGGACAACAACTAGTCATAAACAATCAACCCATTGATCTAAATTCTAAAGTTTCATTGATTACTATAGGATCAATCACATTCAATCAATAATATCAACGTTCAGATATTGTTCTAGGTTTGTAGCGCATTTGATCAGAGATCTTGCATGTATAAACAGGAAATGAAAACTAAAAAAAGCTTAAAGCAGAGATTTACAGAGCTACTTATGCTACATGAAAAATCAAAGCATCACAGAGAGAGCATGAAAAATCACAGCACCACATAGAAACAAGGGCACATAAGAGAGAGAAACCGAAACTCATAAGAAGCCAAAACAAGTGAAAAAGAAACCAAAAACCCAAAAATCCATCATTTACAGATAATTTACCCCCAAAAAGAAAAACTTGATCTAAAAAATCTTCTGCAACAACCCATCAATCCAAATCCCGATAAAAATTAAAAACAACAAAAAAACCATACCTGAAATAGCTTCAAGAGCTTGAAGAGTTGGGACATAATGATATGAGAGCTGATAGCTTCTAGAGAGAGTACAGAGGTATGAGAGCCCTAGGGCACAAAGAGAGAGTGCAGGGGTGAGAGTGTGCAGAGGTGTGAGAGCCCTAGTGCACAAAGGGAGAGTGCGGGGGTGTGAGAGCTCTAGAGAGAGAGTACAGAGGTGTGAGAGCCCTAGAGAGATAGAGGATGAGTGGGAAAATAGGAGAAAAACAGAGGCATGGGCTTCTTTTACGGGTTTTCACGGGGGCAAATCTTCTGTTTTTTTTTGCAAATTTCAAGGTTTTCCACGGAATTTTTCTCATGAATAAAAGTTGGGAATTTTTTTCATGAATAAAGTTGGGAAGAGGATCAATAAAATGAAGTTAATTATTTATTCTACTTTTATTTTTATTTTTATTATTTTTATTTTCTTTTTTATCAAACGTAAAAAAATGAACAATAATAGATAAATTCCAACTTTTGAAAAGCATCTTTCTATTATCAAATACGCCCTAAAAATATAAAAATCTATCTATTTCCTTCATTTCTCCCTATATTTCTCTTCTTTTAATAGCTATTCACTAAAATCCCTAACTCAAGCATGGATATCTTATATCTTCATAATATTCTTTTCTCAGGATAAAGAGACATTTACAAATTTTATTAAGCATTTTCTTAAATGTACTTCTCATGCTACCCTATAAAATTTTAGGAAGTAGATTTTTAAGTAGAGAAATATGCTTAAACAGCCAATATTATAGAAATGAGATTTTGGAGAGAAGCGAATATTATAGAAATGAGATTTTGGAGAGAAACATATGTGGAAGGAAATGGTAGAAAGATATTCAAATATATTTTTTAAAAATCTTGAAGTCCCTAACTTTTAAGCATCCATTACCCTACATAAACTCGTATCTTTAAAGGTTATGTAACTTACAACATCTCTATACATAGGGTCTTTTTTTATTCTTGTGACATATATTTACTTTTTATCTCTGGTTTTATAATATAATATATAATATAGGGTAAATTTTTTCATACCCTTTATTTTTTGTATCCATTTATTAAGAGACCTAACGATTTAATCTATTTTTGACGGCACGAGGACTTTAGCTTTTCTATTTATTTGCCCTTTATATTCTTTTGACTTTATTATTTTTTAAAATGACTCATTTTTATCTAAACTCTTTCTCGTTCCCCCTCTCTCTCATACTCAAATTCAGTGGGTTTTTCCAACTCTCCCATCATCTCTCTCTCAAAGAACTCTGCCTCTCTCTCTCTCTCTCAAAACTCTGCTCCTCTCTCGCCCTTCTCTCTCTCTCAGATAGACACCAACCCCAATTAATGATTTCTGGTTGAAGTTTTTCATGGCTTCTTGCAACTATGAGAAAGTGAAGTTTGGGCCCAGTCCGAGGCTCGATGAATAAATGTTTCCAGTAAACCCACTCCTGGAGCCTAGTTGTGATGCTATTATGCTCGAATGGCCACCTGAATGAATAGGGAGAAGCCATGAAGAGAAACTCTTTATGTTTTCTCCAATCCTCAGGTCTCCTATGCCACAGAAAAATCATGGCCCCAAATGCTCCAAAAGCCATGAAAATACCCACGGCTGTTGTGGTGCCGCTCGTTGAACCAGCCTTAACCAAGATCTTCCACCATGAACACATATTTCTCCATCCAAGCTCCCAACTGTGCTGCTAAGGTTTATGATTTCAAGCCCATTAAGAAAGCATTGGGCTCTGGTTCATCAGACCCAAATGAGTTCCGACTCATAGGACCCACTTGAACAATTATTCGATGCAGTAACCATGAAATCCTTATCGTACGGGACAACCAAACCAGAGGCCAAGGTCGATAAGTCAAGCCCTGTGACTGTAGGGTAGCCATCGATATACACATTGCATCACAAAACTTGGAGCCTAACCAGGTATCCAAAACTTGGGTCTACACTAAAGCCCCATGTCAGATTGAACCCATGGTGAAATCTTCACACGTTGGGTTTTGAGAGGGAGAGATGTTCGGAGAGAGAGACGATGGGCGAAGAGAGAGATGATGAAGAGAGTTGCAGAAACCCACTGACTTTGATTACGAGAGAGAGGGGAGAGAGAAAGATGGAGTTTAGAGAGAGAGAGAGGAAAGAGAGACGAGTGGGGAGAAGAGAGATGATAAGGAGAGCGGTAAAAACCCACTAACTCTAAGCAGGAGAGAGAGAGAGAGAGAGAGAGAGGA